TTTGAAAAAAATATTGTGTAATTTTAGATTGAGTGGCTTATCTCCTTTCTCTGGTGAAAACGATATTGAAACCTTGAAGAATGTTCGAGCATGTGATTGGGACTTTGATGTGGAAGCATTTTCGAAAGTGTCAGATGAAGGAAAAGATTTTATTCGTAAGCTTCTTCAACGAAGCAAAGAGTAAGAATTCATTTTCTACCTTTTTTTTTTATACGAGTTTCATGTATTTTGAGACAATAAACTCAACTGAGACTTCTTTTAATTTTATGAATTTCAACATTTTTTAAAAATCAATTTACTTTAATGGAACTATTAGATGCTAAAAATCTGGTTTTGCATTCATATTTAACACATTAAGCCCCGTGTCCTTCATAACCTGTTATTATAAATACTTCTCACGGGATGTGTTAAATAGCCGTTTGTAATTCGTCTTTGAGCCGACCGGCCTGTGTAGGGGACAGGGAACTGGCTTTGCATCAGAAAGGTTCTGGGTTCGAATCCCGGGCAAGGCATGGATGTTCTTTCCATCTCTGTCCTTACTGTGGGAGCAACTTTGGCCCACCTAATAGGGTGCCTCTGAAAGAGTGGCCAACAAATCTCCCCTTCAGCTGCCTGTATGACAAAAGGTCATTCTCCAGGTGGGCATTGGAAGAAAAATAAATTCAACTTTGAACTTTTCAAGGAGTACTGAATTCATTTAAAGGAATCAAAAGAGATGCATTAAAATGTTTTAATATTTCAATAAAATTTGAAATTGAAATGCCGTTTAGACCAATAAGCATATTCAAAGAGTATATATGCTACCGTGAATGACGGAAGTCGAGAGAATGTCGACTTTCGACCGGTCAGCAATCCTATAACCGTTATAGTGAATGTCCGAAATATTTGTTATAACCGATTTGATATTAATGTATTCGTTGGCATTATTATATTTATTCGACACTTTGATATCTGGTGAGGATAGATTAAGAGAAACACCAATGTTAAATGTATACCGGGTAGTGGCACTGAACCTTAAAATAACTTTGATGTAGGGCATACCGGGTCACGTACTAGATACATTTCGAACATTTTCCAAAGCGACAATGTGATTGTCAACATTCATCGGTCATTTCATAGTATAATGGAAGAGCAATCATAAGTGACAGAATTTGAGCGTCTCTTGCTTTTATTCTCGCATAATTCTTTTTGACTCTTTTATAAACGTGTGCTTGTTTTCATAGACGATTTCTTAATAGTTTTTGACGAATATAATTTTGTGTGGAATTCGTGTATATGTCTAAACATATATTTAGACTTATAAAAATAAGAATAAGAAAATGACCTGTTTCATACAAATCGGACACTTTTTAATTTATAAAAACCGTTTTTCAAGCCGTTTTTCAAACTACGCAATTAGTTACGCGACTCGCCTTTTCTTAACAATGTAGGTTTTACAATTTTTTCGCATTGACCAGCCAATCCACTCAAATGGATATTTTTCAACTTCTTAATCCTAATCACCTGTTTAAAGGTAAGCGAAACTAATCAGCGCAAAATGGAGGTACGGAAACCTCTCATGGTTAGTCCGATGGACTAAATACCAAAGCATATTTTGCATCAACTATGTAATCTCTGCATACAAGAAGCGATGTGATGTATACTCCGACGATTTCCTTTCTTGACTAGGGTATTCCATTTCGGACTTGATATTTTTAGTCATAAACATTGCTGTGGAGCCGCTTGATGTTTTCAATTTAAAAATTATCTGAGAAAATCGAAAGTAATATATTACCAGTTATAATGTTATTTGGGGATTATTATTTGAGTTACCTAAAGTAATGTATTTATATTTAGGAAAAGAATGACAGCGCATGAATGCCTGGAACACCCATGGTTGAAGGTATTTGTCCTTTTTTTATTTTCTCTGCCCATTCATTTTTTTTTTGTATTAATTTTCTCTCTCTCTCAGGGAGAAATGGATGCCTCCAAATCACCCATAGACAGAAGCAGATACATTAAATTCAGGGACCAGATACGTGCCAAATATGTGAGTATATTTTCCCTTTCTAAAATACTATGTTCCATTCCTGTCTCTCGATATTCACTCTCTTCTTTCATTCAGGGCGATTATTGGTTCTCTTGTGCCGTTCCTTTGGGCCACATTTCCAATTACAGTTGCCTCAGAAAACTTCAAGAGGAACGATACAAAATTAGAGAATTCTCATTTGGTGAGTAACCATTCATGCACATTTATAATTTCTTGATAGATCAATTGTTATGTATATGAAAGTAGTGTACAGTCCATATCAAAATGTATCAGCAGAAACTTCGAGAAAATATTATTTTTTCTAGCCCTCCAATAACAGCTTTGTACAGCAAAACAAAAGCTATCCTCCAATAAACAATCTTCAACTACAACCATTCTGCTATACAGGGTTCATTCTTTTGGTTGACCTGCTATGCTTTCTCAACCGAGGAATAAAATTAAATGTATTCCACGTTATTTTCTGGTACTAAATGCTCGTGATAAAGCTTAAAAAAAAGCAGAATTGTTATAAAACCTTTTTATTCAAATGGTTTCATCTTCGGGTTTAAATAAACAAGAATGCATTAGAGATGTGAATAATCTAAAGAATATTGTTTGACATTGTGAATAGAGTCACAACTGAAACAGAACATCTACATTAGATTTCAATCCTCGTAACAAGTCAGATGATCCTCCTTCCATCAAAGATTTTAACAAATATTACATCATATGAAGAATTTTTATCAAACGCTTGTCTATTACTTAAAAAACAATGAAATGAAGATGTCCTTCAAAAAGATAGCAAATGTTGCAAACACATGGGATGGAAAAAGCAGGATCGTTAAGGTGGAAAAATGCGAAAAATTTATGTGTAGTATTCTAATAATTATGTTGTGTTTTTTTTCTTCCAAATTCTATCATAACAATGCACACATTTTCAAGTTATTGCAAATAAAGTAATTCTGCAATTGTTATTGTTTTCAGATCGCCGTCAAGCCGTTCCAAGATTTGTGATAAGGCCGCAGAGCACTTTTGCCTACGAAGGTCAAGCAGCCAAGTTCTTTTGCAGAATTATTGCAGCATTCCCTGCAACTGTAACATGGTAACAGTTTTTGCATAGAAACACTTACAATTTTCAAATAATTATTGTAGTACACTTGTTTCTTTTCTTTTGTGTATGGAATTATTTATCTTAATATAGTTAAACGTTTTTTTTTTAGTATACCATGAGAAATTGTAGTCATTGATGAATGGGGAGCATACTACATAACTTCTTTTTTAGTTTTATGCTAATTTATTTTTTTTAAATTAATTTTTTAACTTTTATAAGTTTTTTAGTGGTATTCCAACTTTGGAGGCTGAATAGTATTTACCCCATTTAAAAATCTGTAAAAATAAATGCAGGTGAAGCTTGTATGAAAAATTGACAAAGCCCAAATTTTGAGCAATCGATATTGGTCAATTAATTCTGGAAAAATAAAATTTTAAGTTATTTTTTAAGCATTTTAATATTTAAAAATTATTTGATCGATTTTGTTTCAATTTTGGTTTTTGTCATTTAAAAAAAAACATAGTATAAAGTAAAATAAAAATTTGCATACCTTACAATTAAAATATGTTTTTTTTTATCATTATTAAATTCGAAAGTAAAAAAATGCAATTATAAAAGTTTATTTTTGCATAAATGTTTTTTCCAAAACTAATTATGTGCTAATAAAGTGTTAATATGATTAGAGTTTTTTATAGCTATAGCAACTTTTAAAGAATCTTTCGGATATTCAAATAATTCTGGCCGACTAAATGTTTCTAACTACATTTTCGAGGCCATATTTAAAAAAAAGAAACAATCAGAAACTATTTGTTTATTTTAATATCCTATTTATGCTTGCGTTAGACTAGAATAATGCTATTCCGGGAGTTATGTGTTGATCCATTATGAATATCTTTGAAGACAATGTTTGTTCTGAGGTTGAAATATCGGTAGATAAGGTTAAAACAATATTTGCTAATAGGTTTATTTGTGTTCAAAATATCTTTACTTAAAGAGACTACTCAAATATTCCAGTCAACTTTGCGGAGACTAATGTTGCTGCGAGTTTTCTACTAAAGCTGTGCAATATATTAGACATCTGATCTTAAATCGAACAAAAAATTCTGTTTCCAACTAAGCTTTCCAATACTGACCTTCATTATGAATAAGAGCCATAATAATAGAATTATAAACGATAATATAATTGATTGTAGTAACTGTTTTAGTCAGATGAATGGCCTACTTTTTTGCCTGGATATACAAGGTTGAATTAATACTAAAAGTTTGGACTGAGAGAAACTATGGCGACTATTTTTCTGAGTTGCAGATATTATTTCTATTGTGAGGGTCAAAAATATAAATCTTCCTAAAAATTATACATATTTATTGTATGAGAAAGTATATCTCCATTGATACACTTTCTCATGCAACCTTTAAGAATATATATTAGTATGCACAATTCCATTAATGAGAACAAATGTTATTCATTGTGAATTTTTTTATTTTGCACCAAAATTCAACAATAACATTTACTCTATATGTTCCTACTACTAGGAGGCTCCGCCCCCTGCTCGCTAACGCTCGCCATCTCCCGAGAATTGCTACGCAATCCTATGTGGTTCACGCCGTGAACCATGGCACGCTGCGCTCGCTCGCCAATGAACACAGTGTTCTAGCACAAAGACATAATATATTATCATCAAAGACATAGTATTTTATCATCAAAGACATAGTATTGTACTTATGTAGAAGAATTCTACCNAAAAAAGCACTTAAACATAAAATTAAAACACTTAAACGTTTTTTAGACGTTTAGGTAGCTCCCAGTAGAAAAATATCAATTCAACAGCGTAATTAATTAATTCCTAATTGAGTTTAATGAATCAATTTTAGTTTTATAGGAGAGAAAAAAGTGACTAAAGTAAATATTGTCTTTGTTGACCTAAGTAGGAATTGACTTGCTTGTTAGTAAGGAAATTCCTTACATAAATATGGTAAATAGAAGAAAGAAAAAGAAACAATCATAAAAACAATGTTTTGAACGCACTTATGTATTTTGCAGGCACCGAGATAATTTTGAACTGAAGCAGAGTGTGAAATACATGAAAAGATATCAAAACGATGATTATCATTTCACACTGAATCGTTGCAAGACTGAAGATCGGGGAGAATACATCATTCGTGCGGAGAATATTTATGGATTTAGGGAAGAACCCGTGTTCCTCAATGTACAGGGTAAGGTCTCTTTTTATCCTCCATTTGAAATATCTTTCAATTATTCTTGTCTAATAAATGTCTCTCTATCTATACAGCTCTGCCAGTCAAAATTCCTCACGTCAAACTGGACGAACCGATCAGGAGGCGTGCACCTCTACATAAATTGTGGGAGGAGCCTGCCGATAGAAGTCCTTGCTTCACATTCCAACTCAGGCCACGATGCATGCAAAGCGGATCCGTCTGCAAGCTCTTGTGTTGCCTCGCAGGGAAACCCACACCAAACGTGAGTATTGACTGTGCATTTTTTATAAAGAGATTTCTAACGACAAAGAAAAAAAATCCATTAGAAATAGAATGAAGCAGTGCTCGGAAGATATCGTGACTTCTGACGACCCCTATACACTATTCCGTCATTTTAACCTTTTAAATTGCCCATGCTGGGTTCCGCTCTGCCAAATTGTATCACCCACCTTGGTTTTACCAACTATTTTTACTTATTGATGACACTTACCATGTGTGGTATTTTACCGAATGGACCATTTTACTTAGGTTTTTTTTTTAACCTCGTACCTTTTCATTTTACCTAAATGCCCCTATTGATATTTTAAGTAACTGTATTCCTTTTAACTTTACAGGCAACCAGATGAGTAGTTTTTTATCTATCTTACCTTATGGCTGCTATCTTACCTCAGTTTGCTTTTAATCTTTTAATTTTTGATTCGGTTTACTTTAACGATAGTGTGATTTCAATTTTGGTGTCATTTTTCTTATTTGGACTTTGTATTTTACGTATCCTATTTTAAACTTATAGACTGATATGTTCAAACTTCTTGCCCATTACAAAACAACGCTCCATCATCGGCTTTGGTCATATAAGATGGACGTTTGCTGGGATTTAAATTATGTGTTCACTTTTTTTCTTCCTTTTTGTGGATGCCATTCCACATGTATCAATTTTATTTTTTATTTTATATCCGTCGTTGAACAGCCGACCCAATTTCATGGGTTTACGACTACTTACGTTCAACTCCGTATCCTTGTAATTTTGAACCAATCCAGAAGACAAGGAAACTCCTGGATCAGTACCCCCAGAGGTATTGATTTGTTGTGGGAACATGGAGGACTTTGAGACTCGACAGATTTAACGTGCATCAGTCACCATTTACTACACCGGCCGGCGAGGATCGAACCCCCGACCTCGGATATGGGCCCAGCGCCCTACCGACCAGGCTATCCCGGCCCCACATGCATCAAATGTAAATTTTGGTAATTCTTTGATAAATGCCTCTGGGGGTGATCTGGTCGGCCGGCCGGGTTTAGCGTGGGCTTCTAGTGACGCCAAGTTGTCTTCTCCGTATGATTTAACTTACGGTCCCTCGATGACAGCAGCTTGACTGTGGTTAAATATTAGGAGTTGCCTTGAGAAAACAGCCATATGCTAGATAATACTGAATAATGTTGTGATAAAATTGTGTGATCTAATAAAGTCAATCCATCGAGAAGGGCAATCGATGCATATAATAAAATGCAAGAATGTCTGACCGTGTGTAAACCGGATGGAGCTCTAAGAGTACCAGATTCAAAACGAATTTAAATGAGTAAAATTGTAAACAAATTAAGAAGGCCGATTTTTTACTACATTATATTTTAAATTGAGAGACGCAAGGAACCAAGATATTTCGTTGAAATGTTATTGTTGTTGTTTGTAGGTGAAATGGTTTAAAGACGGTAAGGAGCTGAACAAGTTTGACTATAACTGCAGTCACGCTGATGGAGTGGTTACCATGGAGATTGTGGGTTGCACTGTTGAAGATTCAGGAAGATACAGTTGTAGAGCGACAAATGCATTGGGAGAAGATGAGACTTGGTGCCATGTACAAGTAGAAGGTACCACTTTTTTTTTCTCTTCTCTTTCCGTTGATCATTGGGTGTTTTTAAGAGGTTTCCCTTTTTGAAAATGATAGTTTTTCTTTACCATCTTGATTTTCGCTACGAACTATGCAAAAAGACACAGTTAGCATTGTTCTATTCGACTTTTTTTTAATTAATTCAACCCCAATCTACTTCGACTTATTGTCAATCCGTAGCGTATGAAAACGCCATTCGTTACATGATTCAAAACTTCAGGATTTTTGACAGTTGTCAAAAACAATGCCATAATTTTTTTTTTTTGGACATGACTGTTAAAACAAGATAAAACCGTCAATTGCCTAACTATGATTTTTTTAAAGCGCTTAAAAATAATTTTTGAGTACTTGGAAACTGCTTGAAAGGTGCTCATTTTTTGTTGAATAATTTGGCTACGCACCCTGAAATAAAAAAAAATAAGTATTTTGGAAGAGGAAATACATTTTTGCTACAGGTGGTTCGTTGTTGAATGAGTTTCACAGTAAGACAGTGAAAACGGATCAAACAAACATAATCGAATCATTTTAATTTCATTTCTAGAAGAAACAAAAATAATATAGAATCTTTCAATCCACAGAATGAGTAAAAACGTAAAATACAAAATGTGAGTGAAATGGGTCTTGAGAAATGGCTGACTTTTTTGAAATTCAATTAACTCAGGAACTATTGAAATTTGGTATTTTGCCATGTAAAATTAGATTCTGTAAAATGATGTAAGAAGCTGCGCACCTTACAACTAAAATTTAAAATCAAAAAAGTGTATCCAATATTAAGCCCTGCAAAAGAGCATTTCTTCTCTTGCCGGGCCCTATTGCATCTAAAGACAAGACCCAAGATAAACTTGATTTAAAGCTGACTATTGAAGTATTATTGATTTTATTTCAGATCGCAAAGGTCCCCCACAAAAAACGCCCCTCCTCCTGCTTCCCCCTTCCACCACTTCACCTTATAGACCTTCCCCCATGCGAGACACTTCTTACAGAGCATCCTCTGTGTCCAAAAACAAGTACAGCACTTCAGACTATTCAAGCACAACAGACTATTCCAGCAAATATAGTTCCAACAATTATAGCAGCAGTTCCAGCAAATACAGTTCCAGCAAATACAGTTCCAACAAATATGAATCATCATCGTAAGTATCATCTTTTCTCTTAACTAATCTCACGTTACAATAAAGATGTTAAAAGATTGAGAAGACAGTAAAAAATCAAGAAGAAGTGTAATTATGAGTGAATCAGTACTTCAAAATCATACACAAAGACCAACACAAGCTATAAAATTATTATTTTTTGTCCCTGCTGGTGGCTTTACGTAAAAGATAATGCAAAACATATTTTTAGCTCTCATCCAAATAACGATGAACCAGCATCTTTTGCATACACTAAGTTCCTATCGTTATACCTAATGGCTTCTCACTGGCTGTGTGTTTTATAAGATCATTCCCCACGAGAGAATGGTAAAATGTTTTGAATTATTTATAAATTTAACTGAAGATATTCTATATAAAAAAGTACCATGTCTTATCATTCTTATTATTCAATTTCGTAATTATAAAAAATGGATGTAATTATGTCATTTTAAGTTAAAATATCTTAAATCAAAATGGAATCAATCAAATAGCTTTTGAAAAAAAAATTTTGAAATAAATCTTTTTTGAAATGCTCAAATACTCAGAAACGATTTGAACATTTTTGCTGATATTTTGTCTTTTTCATTTATACAGTTGATTTTTTGAAATTCTTTAAACTATATATACCTTATATAGTTTAAACAATCTACCTTAAAACTAACTGTTAATATCTTAAAACTTGATTTCACTTCTGAATAAAATAATGACTCACCGAAAAAAATTAAATAATTACTTCATTAAATAATTACTACATTAAAAAAAATACTTTAACAGACTTGAACTCTTGTTACATTATTCATTAGTAATTAAAATGTTTTATTTATAATTATTTTACGCACTTAGTACAACTTTCAAACCATAACAGAAGTACAACTTAATAGTTAATCATCATTTACTATTAAGTTGTTTTTACAAATTGCCAATGTTAAAAAAATGTTTCTTGTCTAAGCAACTTTCTTACACTTAATTGAATGTTTCTTCTAACAGTAGTTATAACAAGCAATCATCATCATCATCTAAAGACTACTTGTCGTCATCTAAAGACTACTTTTCGTCATCTAAAGACTACTTGTCGTCATCTAAAGACTACTTGTCGTCATCTAAAGACTCCTTGTCGTCATCGTCTACAACAAAGAGGACGCAGAAACCCTACGGAAAGAAGAAAACAGAGGGAGGAGGGGAAGAGACTGTCAGATCAAGAACTTCTACCAGAGAGCTCGAAAGTAAGTTTTTATTTTGGAATGTATAATTTGTCTACGGTAAGAACTCCCCCCGCCATTGTTGCTATGGAAACAAGAATGGCGCATTTCAGGGAGGGTAGCTTCTCTTCACTCTAGGGATAACACAATTGACAGAAGATTCCCTTTCTCTCACCGAACCGAGCCCAAACCTGTTCTAAACAATGACTCCTCACCCCTACTTGAAATAGTTTAGGGCAAGATAGGACAGCCAAAGTAGAATAAAAGTGTAAAATGAAAATCAAACTCTCCGGATTTGGCAAAAAGTATAAAAAAATAAGGTAATATTAACCACAGCAAAAAATATTAGCTAGCAAATATAACTTACTACTACTGAAGACTGGATTCAATGTTCAGATTGCTTAGAATGGGCTCATGAAGCGTGCTGTGCTTATTCCGGTTTTGGCCGCTTCTTATGCAGTAACTGTGATGTTTAGGAACGTTTTTTTGTCGATTATTCTTTTATTCTGACATTAATTTCTGTGATTTTTGAAATATAATTATGTGTCCCATCTTGCCCGGGTAGCCCGGGCAAGATGGGACAATGTTCTATTTTTGTTTATGTTAAGTTATTATTATTGAACTTTATTATTTATTTATTTTCCGTATGAGAAATGTAAGAGCAATCTTCCCACTATATGTTTACAATATAAAAGATACAAAATTGCTCTAGTTTACTATTTTTTAAACCAAGTTTCCTTAAGCGGTCCATCTTGCCCTGGCTTCCCCTATACCTCGTTACCATAGTCACCGCCGCGAGTCCCGACGAATGGCTAGGGGAGTTGTTACTTTAGACAAACAAGAGTGGTTTATTCATCCAAAGTCAGCGCGGCTGTAGGGAAGGGTGGTCCAATAAAACTTGGTTACGGAGAGATTCATTGTCATAGAGTAACGAAATTCCCTCACAAATCTGGGAGTGAATGTATGCTTTTTTTGCGCATCACCGACTGTATCCCGTTCGTGGCGGGCATTTTAAAGACTGACCTACACAGTTGTTCCAAAGGACAAATCAATCGTTGCGACATCCACTTTTCGCAACAAAACGGCTCTTAAAGAAACAGCCCGCGTAGTATATCTTCACAAACAATTACTTCTCCGATACAGTGTGCCATTTTAATTATCAAGAACAAGAAGACAACTACTATTACGATCAAGTGTTGTTGTTTAAGTGCAAATTGGCTGAGAGACTCTGCTTTAGAATCACATTTGTGATAAAATGTTACACAGTCTGGGAATCTTCAAGGGTTCGCTGTACTGCAAAAAACTCATTTTTCCGAACTTTTAATGACACATTAATTAAATGAATGATTCATGAAAAGAAATGCAAAAATGATTTAAAAAAGCAATATGGAGTCACAAAAAATGTGTTCTTTTTTTTATGACTCTTCGTCTTGTTTACAAAAAATGGAGGGATGAGAAACTATGAGATAGAAGAAGCAATAAAGAAAAAATGCTTATGGCTACATTCCACTCCTCAATAGATGGTTTTAAAAATCGGTGTGTGTAGAAATTTCAAAATGACCGAAAAATGAAGAGAATAAGTCAGAGACAGAAACATCCAATTTATCTCATCTTTTGGTTCACTCTTATCTGCAAAAAATTACATTATATGTGTATAGCGAACATTTTGTTCACTCTATCCGGGAGTTCACTATAGCGGGGGTTTGTCTGTATTTAAATACAAATAAAAGAGAAATTAATTGTCACAACAAAACTGTACGTAATATTTAATAAATTCATTCATCTGTTCTGTTATGAATATAATTAATTATATTTTCAATTGTAATGAACTTTGGGTGAAACTTTGTATTTTCAAAAAAGAAGCAGTTCTTTTATAAATGACAGAAGTTTCTAAAATGAATGAATTGTGTTAAAGAATGAGTGTATTAAAATNTTAAAAACAATGCTAGTTAATTAACAAAACAAATTTTTTTTATTGAAATGTTAATTAAGGTGTTCACTTAGATATTCGGTTAATAATTTTTATTTGCTTAAACAAAATTACTTTGTTACAATATAATATTCTAATACCAAAAAAAGTACTTACGTAGCGTGAAAATATCTTTGGTGATGTAACTCTTTCAAAAGTACATAAAAATGGTTGCCAGCTGGTGTGTACAAGTAGATTTATTAGATACACCTTGTGCGCCACCTAGGAAACAAATCTAGAACCCGACACTCGAAATTTTTGCTCTGTTACAATCGTACCCTGTTACAATTGACCCCACTCTCCCCTATAATTATATTTTCAATTGTAATGAACTTTTGGTGAAACTTTGTATTTTCAAAAAAGAAGCAGTTCTTTTATAAATCAAAAATGACTTAGTTCCAAAAGTTTCTAAAATGAATTGTGTTAAAGGATGAGTGTATTGAAATAGATTGTGTTTTTGTAGTTCCCGATGACACAGCTCCCTCATTTAAGGAGGGACTGACAGACACAGAAGTGAAAGATGGAGATCCCCTCACCCTCAAATGTGTTCTTATCGGAGATCCTGATCCACAGGTGGAATGGTTCAAAAATAAAGAAGTAAGTCATTTGTGGTGAAATTGCTCAATGCATACGGTGAGCACAAATCAACCGTATCGATTCATTTACTCTAATCATATTCAAAATTTGGCCATTTAAAATTATGTTTTTCAAAACTATGCAGAAGTTTGTATACCTTGAAAAGCAAACGTTTTTCGACTATTATTAAATAAAATAATAAAAAGCAGGGTATCTATCAGAGGAAACAAATTCACAAACGCTCAAAAAATTTTCATGACCTTCTTAAAAGACATTTTATTTATTTTTTGAATAATACTTCTTCATTTAGAGAAATTATTCAATTCATTTTAAGTTCATTGAATGCATTTTATATTATTGTAATATATTATAAGTCTAATATTTTACATTAGCTCAATATATTAGTCTATATTAATAATGATAGTGTAATAATGAGATATACTGGTATTTTATTTGTTTGATATGTTCATCAAATTTGATGAATGCAATGTTATTACAGCACCCAAATTTTTTATCAATTCAAGAAGCTCTTGAAATGAAAAAATTTCTTAACCTCGTGTAAGAAAGCGTGACTTTTTCCAAGAATTTTGTGACACTCAAATAATAATAATAAGTGAAAATTAAAAATTAGTTTTTGAAAGAAATTATTATTGGATAAACGAATTTCATAACTGAATATCGATTAAAATGAAATGAACGGTCCAAACTGTATTTGGGACCCTCTCTTTAGGGTTCGAAAAAATATTCATTAGATGTGTTATTAACCGACAGTAATCAAGTGTTCTATTATTCGTCTCAACTAGTAGGGTGTTAGTAAATAAATCGGAAAAAAAAATTTTTTTTTTATGCATTAGGTTTTCTCAAAAGGAGAAAATCTGCAAAATAAGTGTTGTTTCTCATAAATTACCTTCTTTGACAGTTTTGTTACAAAAAGTTTTTGAAACGATAAAACTAAAGCCTCAAAACTATTCAAATGGAGTTTGTTTCTGCAACATTTTTTCAGTATTCATAACTTCAAGGTAGTCTAATCAAAATTTTGATTATTAATATAGGCATCCTATAATTAATATACATAAGAAGAAAAACACTTTTATAACGAAATGTCTTCACTGAAAGAATATATGCATTATAATGTACGATTTGTATAAAAGAAAACTTACAAAGTAAAAAAATTTTTCTGTTTTGAAACCTCGATATCGATTGTTTGTAGAATAGATTTTTGCACTAATCAATATATTTCAATTTTCAGCCATTGCATTCTTCGGACATCATTGACTTGAAGTACAAGAATAAAGTGGCCACACTAACAATAGGTGAAGTCTTCCCGGAAGATGAAGGAACCTACACCTGCAAAGCGACCAATTCCCTGGGAACAACTTCAACAGTTGCAAAATTAACTGTTTTGTTACGTAAGAATTTCTCTCTCTCTCTCTCTCTCTCTATATATATATATATATATATATATATAATTATATAAATTAAAAATATCGGAGTAGGTTTTATCAATCGTTATCCTTTTTTCATTTCTAAATTGGAACTGAAATCAACATTAAATAAAATATTTTTCATCAAATACTCCTGAAAATATTATTTTTATGAAATTTTATTTTGTTTAATTTGAAAGACAAAACACACACTGCAAAAAAAGAAGAAAAAAAATCCAGTTACAATCTTGCATGCAACGAGAGAGGAAAAAGAACGTCTTTGCAACAATGAAACGTTTAAACATAATTTGAGAAATGAGTATTGTTTTTCTATTTAATGTATTTCCAAATATATCCCTCATCTGATGTAATGCACTTACACGCACTCGGCTTAAAAGATGACAGGAGTAAAGGTTCACATGCAATCATGCATAATCACTTGAATTAAAAAAAATATTAAAAGTGTTAAAATTAACAGTAACCCCTTTTACACTAGAATATACAAATCTAAAGTTAGAATAATACATTTAATAAAATTATATAAGTGTTAAGCATATTTTTTAAAAAACTTAATGTCAAACAATGTTAATGAGAACTGTCAACAACTCTACAAAAAACTTTTTAAAAACAAACCACTCATATTATCATCAATTGATTAAAAAAACAATCTTCGTTTACTTATAAAAACCAAAGTACTAATATTCAATTCAATTTGCATTTTAAAAAGAAAATAAATAAAACGAAAAACTGATTAAATTTTCTTAGCACACAACAAATAACGCCAAAAAAGTTATAGGAAAAAAAAATCTAGTTTAAAGAAGCCAAAGGCTGAAATAGAGCAATTTATTAATGATTTTGTAAAGCAAAAGTTTTTTTCCCCTTCATCGAAAACTAATCTACTAACAAGATATGTTTTTGCATTATTTAATCTTCAAGTACAAAAGGAAGACAGCTTAAATTAGATAGGAAAATATTCAAGAGAAGATAATTATTCATAAAAAAATCAATCATCTGGCGTGTTGCCAAAAAAGAAATAAATTTTGAGAAGAGAATCGTTTGCCATTTTAAGTGAAATATGTTTTCCCGCCTTAAAGCAATCTTTGCAGAGAAGCAACATTGCACGATTCTGTACTTGAATGATTAAGTTACATAAGATTGTTCTAAATTCTTTTATTTTGCGATTTANTATATGTATATATGTATATGTATGTATATATATATATATATGTATATATGTATATATATATGTATATATGTATATATACATACATATATATATATATATATTGTGTGTGTGTGTGTAGTAAGATAATTTTTTTAAACCTGCAAACCTCATTTTTTATTTATTTATAGTACTCTATACTCACAAAATTGATTTTTAACCATCGAAAACAACGAACTATCTTAATAATAAAATTCATAGATGTTGCTTATAATAATTCTGAAATTTCTTAAAAATGTTTGACATGTTAGAATTTAGCGTGAAATATTTAAGTATATGCCAGTCATTAATTGTTTTAAAAAGTAGCAAAATGAAGCAAAACAATCTTTTTAATGAGCTCTTAGAGTGAGAAAATAAATATTATAAGTTTCTGACGATGAATAAAAATTTAATTCTTAAACTGGGTTAGTAGGAGAAAGTGCTTCATTCACTTTTTGTTGGATTCACAAAAGCTTTTGATTTCTTGAGATGATAAATTGTATTTAGCTAATGTCACACCCCAGCCAAAATAATCATTCCTACGATCAGATTTTATTAATGTTTGACATTCATTTCTTGAATATCGGTTGCATCCCGAAGCCTAGTAAATTCTAGGTTAGATAGTGGATTGGTTAAAGTCCGACCCACCCTATGTGTTAAAACTTATGAACTTACTTAATTTACAGCAACCACAAACAATGAATAAAGCTGCTGAGTACCATTCATGAATTTCGATTCAGATGAGGAGACTATTTTAGAATGATTTACAGTCGTCGATATAGGGTTTCGTAAGAACCATCGCTTGTTCGATGTGCAAGCATAAATGGCAATTGTTTTTTCCAACAGCCGAATAATATATCCATGTAAGCCATCTATTAAATCGATAAACATTGATATTCCCATCCATTGGAGTTTCCTTAATGCTAGTTACATGAGCTAAAAAATTTCACAACATGTCCATACTTTCTGTATTTATACTCAAATCTTTCTGGCTTGAAAAGATATTCAGTTAAAATTAATAATATATAATTAATATATATAAAATTAATATATAATAATATAATGTCCATACTTTCTGTATTTATACTCAAATCTTTCTGGCTTGAAAAGATATTCAGTTAAAATTAATATATGTGTTCAAAATATTTTCATTAGTTGTTAAAAATGTATTTACTTACATAATGAGTGAAATGAGTTGCTCAGGTTTTAATAACTAATGAATAGAAGGTGCGCAGCATTTTTAAAAAGTGTGCTTATTTTTGATTTACGCTTTATAAAAGCCTTTAAAGGGGCTTTTTTTTATTTTGTTAAATGTGCTTCATTTTCTATCTTTTAAAAAGAAATTGTCCTTCTAAATGATAGAAAATGCATGATTTACCTAATTTTCTCCGCAATATTTAACAGAAACTAGTTATTTTATCATGACTATGCAAAGTTTTTGAAAACGTTTCTGAATTGATTGATTTATGTTTATAAATTAAGAACTTTAAATGATGGGGGGAAAAAACAATTTTCATGACTACACAAATCCTAATTATGACTTTTTTGGGAAGTGATTAAAAATATTTTTTGAGTGCTTAAAAGATGCTTATTTTTTGTTCAAAAATCTTACTACTCTCCCTGGAACATGGTAAATTTAGTGGTTGTAAAGCATGTGCAGGGGTCTGTTTAGAAGAAATTTGGGTCCGTTAACGGACCCTTCACAAAATATCTTTTCATAAAAACGGACCNAAGCCAACTTGGTGTGACCACTTTTAAAATGATAATGGGCCATATAAAAACTATCAACTAAAAAAACTTTCCTAATTATAGCAGCCAAAGAAAATAAGAAGAAAAAGAAGGAAGGCGGAAGTAAACCTCCGAGAATCACAAGTCATCTGGTCAGTCAAGTCGCAAAAGACGGTGACCCAATGACCCTCTCTTGCACTGTAAAATGTAAGTGTCTCTCTTCAAGTTATACCCCCCAACACTGCATTGTTTTTTGTTCCTTTTACTGACTCTCCATTCCATTTTCAGGTCCGTCAGACTTCGAAGTTGTGTGGTTGCATAACGAGAAGGAGATAAAGAACAGTAAAGACTTTCAATACCAGAATGTGGGTGAAATGTATAAATTAGTAATTCCAGAACTTTTTCCCGAAGACAGTGGAATCTACACTTGTGAAGTTTTTAATGACGGAGGGGAAGCTTTCAGCAGTTGCACTCTATCCATTATAGGTAAAACATTTTTGTTCTTAGCCGAAAAATTCCCTAAAACATTCGAGTCAGTAGTTTCGATACAGCGACGCTGAAACGACAGAAAACATTGCTGCGACGTGAGGGCAAAAATTGCCATCATTAAAAGGTACTCTACAAAACTTTGATACTAATGGTAACAAAACTTTATTATTATGACACTAATGCATCCACATACATAAATGTACCTTTTGACCCCTCAAAAATAAGAAATATTTCTTTAAAATGTATCTGCCACATTTTAGATTTTCAAATTCATGACTTTACTATTACTATTACCAAGTTACTATTTTCTCCGACAAAAACACAACAATAAATTTAAAAAAACATTATAATAACATTCATTGAAATGATAGGTAAAACCAAAACTGTTATACTCTGCATCTTCATATTTGCTTAACATTTTAAATTTAGAAAAAAAACAGAGTAAAGAAAGAGTTGAAGAAATGAAATAGCTGAAAAAATACGAAAGCAAATAATTTTTTTCTGCAGAATTATATTCTAAAGATACTTTTCTTGTTCATACTCCTGATTTTTCTGTTCTCATTTCAGAATTTAAAAAAATTCTCCAATGATTGGCTTGCTTCAGCTAAAATTTTAAATTGATAAAATAAAAAAATATAATAACAAGAATTCTGAAATCACAGAAGTTTAAAAGATAATTCGCTCCAGAAATGATGTTTTTCTTTCATTTTTAGAAAGAACATCATAACTTTTAAAGAACATGATAAAAACATTTTATATTTTAATAAAATATGACTGTGAGTGGGGATTTTATTAAAAATTCAGATATTCCGAACACCATGAAATGGGGGGGGGGGGGTTTTTAAATTGTTTAAAAATTTGATTTTTCAGCGACCTAAATCCATGATTTTCTTTAACAAAAATAGTTAAAATCATGACAAATTTTGTTCAATACCGAAATTCATGACTTTCCAGGTGAGCAGATACCCTGAATATAATGTGGATTAAAAAATATCATATCTTTAATACTAAAAGTCATCGATTCATTCAAAATTGGTAAAAGTTTCAAGACTTTATACTTCTCTACTTTTTTCTATTATAAAAAAAATATCTAAACGAAAATTAAATATTTCGTTGCAAAACTTGTCTCTCTTTTTATTTCTATTAAACGAAATGTCTAAACAAAATATTTAAAAAAAAACCCTTTATGTTTCTTCATTAGTTTTAAAAATGTGTCAATTTGAATGAATCTATTTATTTTTTAGTTCCTAATGAAGCCGTCAAAGGACCGTGTTTCACTAAATTTCCAGAATCCCAAACTGTACACGAAAATCAACCGGTGACCTTCACTGCTGAGGTCGAAAAAGACGCTGACAAAGGTATCATCATTCATTATTCGCACAAATTATAGCATTTCTTTCTTTCTTTCTTTTTTTTTTCATATAAAATCAAATTTTACTTCTTTCCTTCCTTCTTTCAATTTTTTCAAAACTTGTTGCTTTCGTTAGTTTCTCTTTTAAAGCACATTAAATGCTAGATAATTTAAAATTGAAACCTTGCTTTGCGAAGGAATGTCTTTAGAAGAACTATTCATTGCGAAAATTAATATCTGCAGTTATCGATTTCGTTGCAAAAGACCTCATATATCGGATGTGATGCTTAATTATTAAAGTTTTTTGGTAGAATTATAACCACCTTATACTATCTATTGTAATTATTTCAAAAGGTTAGTCAACTGGGGGGCATTTTCTGAAGCAGATTCGCTCTCTCTCTCTCTCTCTCTCTCTCTATATATATATA